ATCTAAAATAAAGGAAAGAAAAGAAAAGCCGATGGAAGGAAACCCTTAGGGGAGCATGGCATTAAAAATGCAATTTAATTAAACCATGAAACGTGTACAGTGGTTATTTCTCCCTGTTGCAGCAGTGTACGTAATATTATCTACAAAATGTACAAATAATTACGTGAAAATACGACCAGTTTTAATCTACGAAATTCTTTGATTCATTGGAGGATTATCACGAGGGGAGTGGATCTAATCGATACCAAGAAGCGCGAGAGAGAAATAAATCATTCGATTGCTTTACGCGCTCGTTTCTTGGACTAAGGGGATAAAACACGAGATTTTCTCAATTCGTTCGAATGCGTCGATATTTTATAATCGTACAATACTGTAGAACGAGGTTTTTTTGAAATACGTTTTACCGTGAAAAAATATCATTATTTTCAATGTAAATAGTACTTTAAGGATGCGAAATAAATTTTGAAGTTCTTCTGTCCGAAGAATTTTTGAATTTTCACGATCCGAAATTGATCTTTGGTCAGAATATTATTATGACTTTATATACGTATACAAACGAAAGAGTGGTAATTCAGTCCAGAATAGTTTTGACAGGTAAACTAATTGTTCTCGCAATTAATACACATTCTCTACTAATTATTTTTGCGAATAATACAATTTTTGACATTTGGGGGCGAAGTAGCGAAAGTGAAATCACATCGCAAAGTGAGAATTGCTGAACATAAAGTTCGATGCGTACGTTGGAAATAATTCGATCTGTAAAGACGTTAAAAAGCCTTTTCATGTAAGGATAAAGAGATTTCCAACGAAATTCTGATATGAGTTAGGTTTGATTAAATTCCTACAATTGAATATGTTTCCCAATCATTATGTTACACGAAATATCAATCTGATGATTAATTCTTAAGATCAAGTCATGATTCCTGTTCACAACAAAACAGTTATCATTTCGTATAACTGCTTTTCCTAATATGTATTATTATTTGTATCACGTGTTTTATGACGATTGTACAATTGTTTAGTACCAAAAATTTCGTTTCGTCTAAAATTAAAGAATTCATTTAAATAGCAACAATGCTTTAGATACGACTTCTTCGAGAAGCGCTGTACGATATCATCGTTGAACTGTACAATTTCCCTTTTCAAAAAGATTTTACGACCTCTCACTGCAAAACACTGACAAAAGAGAACTGACAGGCGTGTGCAGGTGTTTGGATATGCAACAAAATTATACAGACCTCGGTAGCCGAGCGTTGGCTGAACTTTCGTGTTTCGGTTACTTCGCCACAATGATCCTTGATTTTCATCGATTCGATTTCCAAGATTTATCGTATACGTTCAGATATAGTCGAATGTTCGTGACGCCTTCGAGTCAGAAAAATCGGCCGCGAAAACGAAACCGAACGGGTTTAACCGGTGCCATTATTATAAAAAAAAAAAAAGAAACGTCAGAAGGAACACAAGGTAACGTCGGATATCCTGTTTTTCCGAACGTGATACTTTTACGGAGTCCTGTGTGACGACATTTCCTTCGAAATTCCGTTTCTCGCATTTCCATTCACACTTCTCACAACCCAGACACAGCTGCGTATATGCGATTCGTTTCGGCGTATGCTTGAACAAGCTGAATATTAAGACGCATCTACACGAAGAAATAGAATTCCATTATTTTTTTTCGTTTTTTCTTTTGCAATCTTAGCTCTCATCTAACGAACAAACAGTGGTTTATTAGAGTATATATGTATATGTA